GCGACACAGGTGACATGGTGGTCCCAAGGCAGTCACTTCTCACTGCTTATGTATGCTTCTCTGTACTGGTGACAGAGTGACACATACACACACACACACAGAAACAGCTGAAAACTGTGGTCACCTCTCAGTGCTCATGTATGCACTTCTGATTTCCCTGGCCACGACACCATGACCCAGACATGACATGTCTCACAGGGTGTCATTGTGACTGTACACTGAAGGCAACTTCAGTCCCACTGTTCAATATGGATGTACCACATGAGGCGTATGACTCATGTTAAAATGTTCCACAGTGGAACTAAACATCCCTCAAACAGGTTGGAGTAAGGATGAGGATTTTTGAAAGTGAACATTTTGTATTTATCCGGGTTAGATATAGGCTTATAAAGGTCCCTTTTTGTTTGCAGTATTAGGAGACAGAGTGAGTCTTAATTGTTTATTTATTTCTAAGTAAGCAACAATGTCCTCGAATTTACTCATATATCTTATGTTTATACTCTGACAACTTGATCTAATCTCTGTGTGTATGACAACACCCCTAACCCTATCTCAGGTGGGTTGGTGTAGCCCTGTAACCTACAACCTTGAAACGGGCAGATGTTCAAACTAACTCAGCTGAACTTCAGAAATCAGAGTTTGACACTAACAATGAGCTCTTGTCAATGGGCTATACAGTAAGAGTTAACACTGGGAATCATTAACGGAGCTCTGCTGCCTGGCAGCTGCTACCTGGATAAGATAAGGCTCATCTGGAACACCTGTTTAAACATGCATATGAATCAATACATTTCATATATGCCGTGGTGAATGTAGGCTACCATCTGTCCCTTTGCAATGAATAATACAGAGTTGTAAAGCATTAAGAGTAATGGTTTCGTAATGGTTTCAATGAAAATGTAAGTGATAAAAAGTGCACAGTTTTTTAAACAAAATGTAAGAATGTTTTCTATACTGTCTGGGGCGAATCCTAACTTGACATCCGCGGGTATAGGCCTATATAATTCATTGTTTTGTATCCCAAATACATCAATACAATGTATGAATGTTTGTTAAGTCCCTATACGTTTCAGGATAGGACGTCATATTCCAATCAATGCTCATCATGACAGAGGTCTCTATATGGGTGGAGACTTGCACAAAATGAGCAGCGGCATTCCATCCAATATAACCATCTGGTGATATAGATAACATATCAGAAATCATCAAGCATGTTTCTGGCGAATCATATGGCTACACAGGCCATGCATATGTCATCAATACGTGAAGTGACGTCGGCTGATTGGCTGCACATGCCGAGCTGAACTTTTCTTAGTGTATTGTACACATAAATGTTACAAATGAATGTGGTCAAACCTAAACGAATTCAAGGCAGGTGAAGAGTATGTTATTGAATCCGGGCTACACTGGTCAGGATTAATAAAACATTTAAGATTAATACACATTTTTTAAAATATTAATGGTCAAGATTTTTTAAAAGTAGGCTAATAAATGAAATAATTGACTATTAAATCATAAATATTAAAGAGAAAAGTGGTGAATAAGTCAATGTTCATATACTGTCATTGCTTTGACTACATGTAATGTTGCTAAAGACTTTGGAAACCTTCAGATTTATTGTTGGACGAGTGGACTGACAGTTTCGAGAACAGAGAATCCGAGAAGAGGGAGTAGCTCGCTGCGCAGAACACCTGTTGCGATTAGACTGGCACGCGACCCATTCTAAGCACTCGCGTGGCAGCTGCGCACACATTAACAAAAGTTGTAAAAGAAAGTTTGAATGCTTTGAAGATTTCTATTCAAATACACACGCACGGACGCGTGCATTGACGCTCTCTCTTTCTCTCTCTATCGCATACGCACACACACACACACTTTAAAAAGAGAGGATTTATCCACGACACTCCACCCACCCACCACCCAATGTGTGCTCAAAGACACACCATTAGCAATTAACATTTAAAAATCTGCTCGTAACACTGGTAAACTATTGAAACAGGGTCCCGGCTTTTCAAGAGAAACACAACAAATCGTAATAGTATTTTCATTCCCTCTGATGGTGAATGGAACAACGCGGCCACAAGCCATCTGGTCAAGGTGTGGATAGAAAACCCGACACCCCCTCAGGCAGGTGCTGGGCTGTAGCCCTAGTCCGACCTCGTCTTCACTGTCTCCATCTATTAGTGTTATTATGTTGTATTAAGAGCAGAAAATGTGTTAGGTTTCGTGGTTTGGAGGCCGGGTTAGCGCATAGAAATAATATCTATAGAACAGTGTATATTTACAAGTGCAGGCTACCTATGAGTTTAACAGTCAAATTGCCAGGGTTCGAGGTTTCAAGCCCTTTCTAAATTCTATAGATTATATTTCTATGGGTAAGCGTCGAGCTCTTTGGTTTATGAGTTGCCACTCCATTTATATTCCAGTCATGCTCAATGAACACACAAATTGGAGCGCAATTACAGGTGCTTTAACTCGCTTTACTTGGATGCAGATAGATATCTGGCCATATTAAGCATAATTGTGCTCAGTGACATGCATCTATGTCTAAGGCTACTACTGAGTTTAACTATTATAATCGCATACTTTTTTTTTTCTTCACCTGTAACGCTTCATTCACTTGGTGGGCGCTAGTGTATGTGTGTACTAGGCCTACCTGTAAAGAACAGCTCAGCATGCTGAGGTTGATAGCCTACCTGTAAAGAACAGCTCAGCATGCTGAGGTTGATAGCCTACCTGTAAAGAACAGCATAGCATGCTGAGGTTGATAGCCTACCTGTAAAGAACAGCACAGCATGCTGAGGTTGATAGCCTACCTGTAAAGAACAGCTCAGCATGCTGAGGTTGATAGCCTACCTGTAAAGAACAGCTCAGCATGCTGAGGTTGATAGCCTACCTGTAAAGAACAGCACAGCATGCTGAGGTTGTTAAACTACCTGTAAAGAACATTTCAGCATGCTGAGGTTGAAAGCCTACCTGTAATACCTGAATGAATTTCACTTGATTGGCCCTTGGCTGAGTCGGAATGGTGATCAGAATTACAAACACTCGCAGTAGTTACTGACTGTGCAGCAAAACAATGTTCGATTGAATGGCTGAGTGTCTGACTGAGTAACATTATGTAATTCGCCCTCCCACATATGCAAGGTCTGGAGCGGAGCTGTGTCTAAATCCTTTCATAGGAGCTAACTCTGTCATTTAGCTCCGCTCTGCCATCTAGTGACACACACAACACGCATCGCTGTTCATCAGAAGTGAATTTGACTGTTTTGTGATATTCACCGTGTGCGTAATACCAGTGTAATATCAAAACATTTGCAACATAGGCTACTGGAGGTGATGTTTCAAGTCATTATAATATCTTTCTATTCTAGGAGTAAATGTGAGAACTCAGAATATTGTGTGTTCATGAAATGTTGTGTTTTGTTCCACTCAATGTGCACGCGCAAAAGTGCTCATACCATGCGTAAAAGCGCTTTCTCTCAAGTGTGTCTTATTACTACGCTCTCCGGTCTACGTTGGCCATTTTTATCTAAAAAACTAAGTGTTCTGTGTAGTCTCAGCTTGCATGTTTGTACCTTTACTGCCTCGACCTCTCTCCTTTCTCCTCTCTCCTCTCTGCGCGCTACAGCAGCGAGCGCGGGGCGTGCGTAACGTGACAAAGGACCGCCCGTCTCGTCCTCGGCTCCGCCCTTTTCTCGGAGTCAGCCTGGTGAAAGTGGAGCCTGCTGAGGAGTCCTCATGCATGTGTCTAGACATTTCCGTGTTTGCGAGCCGAGCTTGCGCTGAATGCGCTCCCGCTGGAAATAAATTAGACTCGCTGAACTGTTGAATGACGTATTATGCCTTGTTTATTATTGTTATCAACCTGACGAACCTGTGGGGTTATAAAAATATATGTATATCATTAAATACAAATGACTCTTGTTATAAACATCATATTACACCTCTGTATTATAGCAGGGTAAACTATGATATGTTATTATCATATCATAAATTAGTATCATAACTCATACATAAATATTTGCTAGAGCCTATTCATATATTCTCTCAACCATTAGCCCTATATCATAATAGATCATTATAGTCCAAACAAGGTTAACAAGTTGTTCCATGCCTCCCCTTATGCAGCAGTAGGCCTATACTACTCTGAATGATATGATTCCATATGATACATCGCATTAGACTGGTTCCCATACATACAGCAATAACTTAATGATATATGTATGGCTGGCTGGGGTAGAAAAAGTCTATAACGTAAGTATGTCTCTTTAAAACGAAGTTTTTCGTGTATACTGGAATGAGGTCAGACATAAAGCTCCTCATTGCACGCGCTGATTATTATTAGATTCCTTTTTGGACCAATGAGAAGAAACTGGGCGTGGTTTTGGCACTAGGCAGGGTAGAGACAGCCTTGGATTGGCTGAATTGTATCGCCATTATATCTTTGGAAAAGGATAAAACTGCACCGGGAGAAATTAGAGGCTGCTGAAAGTTACAGAGAGCGCAGATGGAAGGCGGACCCTAGTTCTAGTGAAACAAGCTTCTTCCCGCATGGTGCTCGGAAAGAAAAGCTATGCAGAAAAATAGTTACCTTACTTCAGAAACTTGGAACATTTTCAGTGTCAGTGCGCTCACACAGACACTCAGTTTGTTTTCAGCTGCTTACACCGCACAAGTTTAAGTCCTACACGACTGCTAGGGTTGAAAAGCTTAGGCTACATAAAGCATTGTCGGAGGAGGAAAGAGTGGAAACGGGGACAGTTTTACACGGTCAGTTCTGTATCATAATACAGAGACTCGAAAAATTACTTTTAACACATCCAGCATTTTTAACGGCTACCTACAGAGTCCTGTGGCTCCGGTTCGGCACATCTCAGGACTGACTTCTATTCACACAGCCAGCTAGAACTGTAAAAAACAACAACTGACTTTTCTTTTTTAAATAAACCTACGGTGTGGAACTGAACTGGAGAGCAAGCAGGCGCCCTCTCATAACCATGGTACAGAAGACAAGTAACGTGGAGAGCTCCGAGGCGGTGTTCGCGGGAGAGTCGTCCGATTCCGGAGCTATGGATCTGGACATGGCTTCCTCCCCGAGCCCCGGCTCCACGGCTTCTTCCGCGGGGGATAGTAAACTGAACCCCGCTTGGTGCAAAACACCCACGGGTCACATCAAGCGGCCGATGAACGCTTTCATGGTGTGGTCACAGATTGAAAGGCGTAAAATTATGGAGCAGTCGCCGGACATGCATAACGCGGAGATATCCAAGAGACTGGGCAAACGCTGGAAGCTGCTGAAAGACTGCGACAAGATCCCCTTCATACGAGAGGCGGAGCGGCTCAGACTCAAGCACATGGCGGACTACCCGGACTACAAGTACCGGCCCAGAAAGAAGGTAAAGTCCAGCAGCTCCAAACCGGGCGAGAAGGAGGGAAAGATCAACGGTAGCAACTGTAACACCAGCATGAAACCATCTTCTAAAAAGAGTGGCTCAAAATCATCCAGCAAACCTCATAAAATAGTTTTTGGGAACAGCACCAAAACACCATCATACCCAGAACAAGTTATCGGCACAGATCACCATTCTCTTTACAAATCCAAGTCTGTTTCTGCTGCCAAACAAATACCGGACAAGAAGAAGCGGGTTTATGTGTTCGGGGGCGGCAGCCTGAGCCACAGTGTGAGCCCGTCTTCAGCAGCGGTGCCCGCCAGCCCTACGCTCAGCAGCTCCGCGGAATCCAGCGAACCCCTCAGCCTGTACGAGGACGCCGCAGCCAGCAGCAGGGAGGGCGGCGAGTCTCCCTCCAGCGCCTCGGAAGACTACACCAGCATGCGGGCGTCGTCCCCTACTCCCTCCGCTTCTCACTCCTCGTCCTCCTCCCAATCCTCTTCATCGGACGAGGAGTTTGAGGATGATCTACTGGACATTAACCCTAGCCCTGGTTTTGACAGCATGTCGCTGGGAAGCTTTGGGTCCTCGGTTTTGGACAGAGACTTGGATTTTAATTTCGAGTCGGGTTCCGGTTCTCACTTTGAGTTTCCCGACTACTGCACCCCAGAGGTGAGCGAGATGATTTCAGGAGACTGGCTAGAGTCGACCATTTCTAATTTGGTGTTCACGTATTGAGCGAGAGAAAATAGAGAACGAGAGAACCACAAGCAGGAAATGTTGTTGTCTAACTATACTGAGCAAAAAAGGGATTCCGGTAAAGTGATTTTGTGTCATACCGTAACCTACAAAGTGTTCCTCCCGCCGAGAAAGAGACGTCAAGCCCCAAGCGCTAACTGTTGAACAAAGCGAGATAATAACTTGCTTTTTATTTCAAGGATCAACTGTCGACTTATTATGAGACATGGCTACAAGTAAGCAGAAGCTGAAGTATTGCCTCGACTGGAGGGGAAGAGGAAGATATTGTTGCGCCCTGAGTAGGAGTGATCGAGGTCCTATTGAAAGAAACACTCGATCAGAACTGGAAAACTGTGATTGATTTGCACGAATATGATGAGGGCGGGCTTAGGTCAGCTATATTTTAATCAATGTTAGTTACTTAAAAGGGACATTTGAGAAACTTTTTATGATCGCCAAGTGAACTTCATAAGACTTACAGAGGTACAGATATAGGCTGGCTGTCGGGACAGTTTTTTTTTTGTCATCGAGGCAGATGGATTTATGAACCAGGTGGGTAGTTGACCTAAAAGTCAAACCTTTTTTAAAAGATAAACGCATGATGTTACCTGTCCTCTCTTTTACTGAGATGTATGTAAGACTGCCGAACAGTTGAAACTAGTGTTAGGGTTATTTAAATGGATAGATGGCGCTATGTTTGATTCCTTTCTACCTAAAAGGAACAAAAAAAAAATCACCAGCTAATTTAATTATTAACTTCAGGATTCAAACGCAACTCCAATCTGTGCTGAACTTTATACACTTCTCTACGATTCAGGACCAAAATTATTTTATGTTTTTCAGATGTTATGTATAGAGAAAATGTCACCGATTTTTTTTTTTTTTCATCCTCGAATTTTCTTTTGTTCATTTATTCAGATTACATTTTTATATGATGTATTTATATACTGGCCAAAACATTTTCGACTTAATTATTTTAGTTGTTTTCTTGTACTGGTCTTATCATGATGTTTTCCCTCACCGTCTGTTTCCTTCACCGAAAGAAGGGCTAGACTTTTCACTTTTGATTTTTTATATTTAAATGTAGACTTTTGACACTTAAAGAGAGGAAACGTTTGATTATTTTGTCAGTGTATTTTTGTACAGATATATATCAAGGGGGTGTCAATCGGTGTATATCGCTGTTTGGATTTCCTAATTTTAAAGATCCAGGTGGCCGGTTATCTCATGAATCGGCCTCCTGTCCATGTTTACAGTATCAATCTGCAGGCTTCTTAAAGACACAGTATCACATTTTTCAATACCCCTGTGAACATGTGCTTCAACACACCAAGTATTTTGAGCAGCCGCACTTCTGCATTTCGTTTTAGAATCTTGCCTAGTAAAGAAAGATTGTAGCTTTAAATTAACCATTTTTTCCCGCGTTTTTTTTTTATATCGACATTCGGTGTAAACCACTGGATGGAAGAAAATAAAATCATAAAAAGCGTATTCAAATTGCGGATTTGAGTTCCGCAACAACAATTATGTAGGCCTACTGCGTTTCTCATTGTATTTGAATATGTAATATTTTCTACTTGTTGGCTAACTCTAGCTAATTGTTTTAGTATCTTATGGCATGGTGAATAGCATTTGTATTTCAGATTCAGGTTATAGCTGTTGTGTTTTTAAAAAAATATAAGAAAATTAGGAAAACGTGAAAACATCTTTGTACATTTGACTGTATCATAAGCAAAAAGATTGTGTGTTTATGTGTTGTTAAGCTATACCATGACAGGCACTAGAACTGATCTCTTTATACATCTTTACTTGCGTTTAAGGTGGTTGTTCAGGATTTTTTATATATACAGTTTTAAATATATTAACTTTATTTTCATCCCATTCTGTGCAATATGCTGTGTAGAATATTGTTTTGTCTAGTCATGCCATAACAAAAGTTTTGAGGGGGGGGAAAAACTCATGCCAGCCAATCGTGTCAATTCACTGCCTGTCAGATTGTTGATAATTCTGTACATAACTTTTTCAAGAAGGAAATAAAAATCAGCTGGAACTGAAACATACCCCTCCTCTCTGTCGACTCATTCTGTCTGATCTATAGATGTTTACTTGTGCTAATTTAATGAAAACACAACTTTAATGTACACTTGGTGTTTACAGTATACAATCATTGTTATACTGTACTGAACAGAAACATAGCCCGCCAACCTGTTGTACATGTATAGAAATGCTGCTTTAAACCATGACAACAGGGGTACATTACTGTACACTCAAAGTACAAATAATGTATACAAAAGCTATTAGGTACATCAGAAGCGCTCCTTAAGGTAGTAAAAATGGTGTACTGTCCACTAGTCCGAGTAAGGCTAAACAGTTTAGGCTGCAAGGTCAATTGGCAGGCTGTGGTTCTCTATGATGTATATGATGGTTTATATGGTGAGTGAGTGATAACATGGGAGACCAAAGACACTTCATGCACGCTCACAGACATACTGTATCAGAAATAGAGGTACCTTTTATTTGGTCTCTATAACATCAGTCCATAGTATGAATATCTAGCCTATCTATCAACAAACAAATGTCTCCTTATAATGCATGGGAGGTGATATTATAGTGGTATTACAAGGGTTATGATATTCAGCAGACAGCATGTATTCACTTCCTAGCTCCATGTCTGTCTCCCAGACAGTGCCTCCCCTCCCCCTTCCCCAGACAGCACATCGTGTCAGTGTATGGGGGATGGGCTGACTGGCTGCATGCTGGCAACATGCAGGATGAGACATCCAACACAGCAGACAGGCTGGGCCTGTATTCACGTTTAAGAGTCTCAGAGTAGGAGCGCTGATATAGGATCAGTTTGACCTTTTAGATCATAATTAATAAGATTACATGGACAGTGGGTGACCTGATCCTAGATCAGCACTCCTACTCTGAGACTGTGAATACAGGCCCAGGCCCTGTCTGTGAACACAACACTCTCTCTCAGTTTCTAACCTGCTATTTAATACATTAAAATTTTAGTCATTTAGCAGACGCTCTTATCCAGAGCGACTTACAGTTAGTGAGTGCATACATTATTGTAGCTCAGCTGGTAGAGCACGGCGCTTGTAACGCCAGGGTAGTGGGTTCGATCCCCGGGACCACCCATACACAAAACAATTTATGCACACATGACTGTAAGTCGCTTTGGATAAAAGCGTCTGCTAAATGGGATATTATTATTATTATTATTATTATTATTATATATATTTTTTATACTGGCCCCCCGTGGGAATCGAACCCACAACCCTGGCGTTGCAAACGCCATGCTCTACCAACATCCCTGCCGGCCATTCCCTCCCCTACCCTGGACGACGCTGGACCAATTGTGCGCCACCCCATGGGTCTCCCGGTCACGGCCGGCTACGAAAGAGCCTGGATTCGAACCAGGATCTCTAGTGGCACAGCTAGCACTGCGATGCAGTACTATACTAACCACGCACTTACAGGTTGTGTTGAGTTCTAGCATCCTAGCATCCTAACTAGAATGTACACTCCAATACATTGCTTCATATTAAGTGGTATGCTAGTATGTATATTGGAATAGAGCCAATATAGTCATTTTAGGACTAAAACCTTGAAATATTCCCTCTCCATTCTGTAGTCTAATCCTTCTAAGAACCATACAATTAGTCACCTTATTAGCTAACCTGATAGTAGAAGTTAGTGCTGCTGTCTTACACCTACCCTGCTGTAGCCCCCTTCAGCTCAGCTGATTACAGCGAGGGAGGCGTATGAAGGCAGTGGCCCCAGTAAAAACCCAGCAGTGGGGGAGGCTAGAGCCTAAGCTCCCTCCTCTCCTCTCTTTGGGGGAAGGGAAGGGTGTCAGGCTGGAGAGAGAGGAGAGGAGGCGAGGCGAGGCAAGACTGCTGGCCTGCCTGCCTGGCTAGTGGGAGTAGAGAAATTATACTGTAGAAATCACTGGATACTGGGAGTAAGGGGGGATTTATATAGAAAAGGAACTGTATTAAATTGTCTTGAATTGGATTGTCAGTTAGGGTCTGAGTGGGTGTGATTACTGTAATCTCTCCACCCGCACCTTCATAGGTCCAAAGCCAAAGCTGTGTGTTTCAACACCACACTGGTTGCAAACTGCAGTAACCTTGTAAGGCTTCCTTTCAGGTAACACGTGTCAACCAGCACCCATGCACTCACTAATACTATGAGTGGCCTACAATGAAGAAATAGACAGAGCATTGAATTTTTTATTTTTTTTGTTATGATGATTTGTTGACGTCTGTCAATCGATTCACCTCACCTTACTCACACCGAAAGTACTGTACTTATGTAAATAGAAAGAAAATGCATACTTTGCCTTCAATATGTTATATTTTCTACTGCAAACAGAACGCATCCACCTCCATATGCCTCTCCAGTCTATCTATACCAACCTCTAGATACACCAGCCAGACTGTGTCTATCTATACCTCTAGATACACCAGCCAGACTGTGTCTATCTATGCCAGTAGTGCACTTTAAAGGAAATAGGGTGCCATTTGCACTCTGTGGGTTGAGTTTTTCCATGCCCTCTGCTGGCCTCTGGAACTTGTAGTCCAGTCAAGGGGAGAGCAGAACTACAATGGACTGTCTATCCCTCCAAATGTGTGTCCCTGCCCAAATGACCATGCTCCGCTGGTACCTTACAGCTATCTGTCTGTATCCCTATGTATCTGTCCCATACCACAGACATACAATAGGTACTGTACTTAGGTCCCTTTAAAGATACAATATGATTCAATGTTTGATGGAATTACTGTCTTGTCCTGGAAAAACGTAAAAATGATAACTGAACCAAAAGCAGATGGAACCTCACAGGTTATGCTGGAAGGCAGCTCAGAACAAAGAACATGCTTTTCAGACTACTGGCTTGTTCCACAGCGGGTGATCTTTTCAGACTACTGGCTTGTTCCACAGCGGGTGATTTTTTCAGACTACTGGCTTGTTACACAGCAGGTGATTTTTTC